GGGGGGGGGGGGTGTGCAGCAGTGCATTGTGGGAAAGCACTGGGGGAGCGCTGGCTCCAGCTGTGTGCTTGGGAGCAGTGTGTTGAACTGGTGCCAAACAAGCCAGCCATTTTGTGGTATCTCATTCCCTGGTGTGCCCAGTGCTGCCCCACATGTCCCATGCCACCCTTCAGGTGCTGGCTGCGCCCCTCAGCCCCTGCCACTGGCTGAATACTGCCTTGCATCCTGCCTCCCCAAGCACCCTCACTTCCACTTAGCATCAATGGCTCCCTGGCTGCAGGGCCAGCCTTGCAAACTCCCTGCCTGCCCCATGAGTCACATCAGCTCCCTGGGATGCCAGCATCGCCAGTCCGCAAGTTCTAATCCTGCTGGTTCCCCTCAGCCATCGTGCCAGGTGTCATGTCTCTTGTGAAACATGAAGGGTTGCTGTGCTTAGGGCCTGATTCTGATGTGCTGAGACAACCCCTGCCCTACACTCACACAAGAAACTCAGGATCCTGGAGACTCAGACCCCAAGTAGGTTTGCTGTTGCATGATGCCTGAGCAGCAGAAGGCAGGGCCAGCTGGCCCCCCATCTTTTACTAGGCATGACAGGACCCCACCCTCAGCTCTGTGCACCCCCAGTGCGTGATTAGGATGTGTCGATCTTCCTTGCCGTGGATCGGATGGAGCCACATCATTACTTTGTTGTTTAATGAAAGTAAAACAGCAATACAGGACAGGGCTTTACAATGAAATGGAGAAAGAAAAATCTTACAATGAACGTCTGGTCATTCAGGATAGCTCATTCCTAAACCAAAAATCTGGGTGGGTTTCTGGTGAGCAAGCCTTTAGTGAGACTATGCTGAAACCCTTCCCTGATGGGCCTACCTAGAGCCTCACACTCCCACCCCTGCTGGTCTGGTGCCAATTCTGAAAGGCTACGGTTCTGGATCTAAATGGTGCTGTTTAAGTCCATCTCTAAGTATATTACAGAATGCCAGTGTCTGGGGTTTGGGGTAACCAAAGCAGTCTTGCTGGTTGGAGCAGAGTCCTGTGCATCTCTACTTCTCACTGAGACCATGTACAGACATTGCACTTTTACTGGTATAAGTGATTGGAAACCAGCCTATACCCATAACAGAAGTTAGACACACTGACCGGTTTAAAACTGGCGGACCCCAGTCTGAGATTTGCCCTCCCCCCGCATCAGAAAGCGAACACGTGTTCTGTTTGCTACTGACTTAAATTATACTGCTTACAGAAAACCACGTAACTTAGGTTGCTCCCACTTCAGGCTTTTCTGAACATCTGTACCTAGCCCGATCATCTGAGCTGCAATCAGCACTTTTTCTTCACGACTGTAAACTCCTTTCTCCCTTTCATAACATGGTTGAATCTGGTAATTACTTTACCAAACTCTCTAAAAGGTTGTTGGTGTGAATGGCACTAGTCAGAGTCCAGCAGTGTGGTTTCAGAGTGAAGAAAGATAAGTCAGCAGTACAGAGAATGACTGCTTTGGTGACCTTGGGACCAACAGACATGAACAGTGGTGTCCTATACACCATCTTCCAGGGATCTGAGCTCTAAATGTGAAGAGGTTTTGCCCCTGTTGCATTGCACAATGGGCCCTGTGTCCTTCTACAGTACCTGTGGTGAGTGCAGCTATTTGCATGCCTTGATCACAGCCCCAGCCTTGGACAGCTTCCAGTCACACAGCTGGCATGTTCATGCAAAACACCTTGGCATTGATATACCATCCATCTCCACTACTGAAAGGAATAAAAAACCACCAAAGAAATATTGCAGGGGGAACTTGGGGGTGGACGGGACACAGGGAGTTCCACTTTGTAGCCCTTTGAGCATCTCATTGTGGAAAATCAGTGCTGAGATGGGGTCCAGCTGATCCAGTGCGATTGTTCTTGTGTTCTGAGCATTATCTGAGACTGTAAGCAAGTTTGGCCCCTATGTTATTTTCAGATCAAATTTGTGATTATAGTTGCCAGAGAGAAGTTTATAAGACTTGACAGTGCCTCTCGCTAGGAGTACACTCTGTCTGTATAGCATGGGTGTGTCTAGGCCCGCAGGAACAAATATGGTCCAGGCAATGACCATCTGCATGGCCATGTATCTGTGTGGTTATCTGGACAGATGCATTGTGAGTGAGCATGAAGCCAGTATGCACATGGCACTGAGATGGGTAAAGTAGCACGTGCATACTTGCAGAGGGAGCTCAGAAAGAGATCTAGCAGCATCTTGGGTCAAAACACTTGTCAACTCAGTGCCTCTGGTCTGCTTTGAGGCAAGGTCTGCTGGCTGAGCGTGCTCCAGGAACATGCATCTTTGCTATTGACGGAGGGAGAGCTGAGGTCCTGCCAACATTTGCTGTGATCCAAATGCCAAGGCCTGATCTGCATAAAGTTTCTGACGAGCTAATGCATAGGGGCTGTTCCCCTCCGCCCATCCTGACGTGAGGATGCCTCTAGCCCCATTCCATCATGGCTGCTGTTGGTACTGGCCCTCAGTGGCAGTAAAGAAGTCCTCGAGCACACTCTTCATGTACTCAAAGGTGGGACGGTCCTCTGGCCTCTCCTTCCAGCATTTCTTCATCAGTTCGTACAGCTCCTCTGGGCAGTTATCTGGCTGAGGCATTCGGTAGCCCCGCTCCAAATTCTGTATCACTTCTGGGTTCGTCATCCCTGCACACACAACACATATAACGGAATCAGGAACAGCCAGGGAAGGGAGCCACTTCCATATACCGGTGCTGACCTCTGCTGGGAGTAGAACAGCATCAGCTGGCTCCTGCAGCCAGCCACCCTGCAGCCTTCTGCTGAGTCTGAACCCAGGGTAGCTCTTGGCCCTTGCAAACACCCCCATGTCTTAGAGCACCTTCTGCTAGTCAGTGTGGGGGCATGGAGGTACACCCAGCCCCTGTCAGCTCCAATGTCTTTTTGATCTGACTGCAGGCACGGGCTGCACTGCTGTGAAAAATCCTAACCTGGATAGGGGATCCGGCCATAGGTGATGATCTCTGTGAGGAGGATCCCAAAGGACCAGACGTCAGATTTGATGGTGAATGTACCATAATTAATAGCTTCGGGTGCCGTCCACTTAATGGGGAATTTGGCTCCTGAAATACACAAGGAGAAAGAGGGACAGGGGAAAGGAGAAGGAAGAAGGTCACTGCTGTTGCCCTAAACCCACACAGCTGATGTGTGGGCTTGAACGCCACCTGCATATCTCTTTGCACCCTCACTGAAACTCACCTGGCATGGGGCACCCACAGCCCTGGCATATCTTGCCATCATTGGGCTGTTAGTGATGACTGTTCCTGCAACAGCCACCAGATAGGGCTCTAGTCTCAGACTGATGTGAATTACTGGGCAGGCATCCTGCAACTAATGCCAGGCAGAGCATCCCCTCTGCTCCAGAGAACTTACTAGAAATGTCTCTAGCTGCTGTTTTCACAGGTCTGAGGGGGCCTCCGTTTCTCCTAGCCCCAGCCCTAGCTATTCCTTTCACCGATTTCTATGTCCTTTTCTGCAAAACGCTGCAGTCCCACTGTCACATGTTCTCCCCTCAAAGTCCCTCCTGCCCCATGCTAGGGGAGGCTGTCTTTCCCTCTGCTCCTTCAGGGCAGCCCTCTTAGGCCTGGGTTACCTCCGTACCTAGCACAATGATTCTCAAACAGGGTGCCGCAGCACCCTGGGGTGCCTTGAGATCCATTCAGGGGTGCCACAGAGTGCCATACCATGCTAGGTGTGCAAACAGGATTCATAATATAAACCCAGAGATTTCAAAGAGGAATCCCCCATGGAAAAGGCATTCTGAACTGTTGTGGTCTTCCTGAATTCCTTGCAACAAAAAAATTGCTCTGTTTGGGTTTTTTCCTGCAGTCAAAAAATCAAGTGAAAGCTAAGAGCAAAAGGTGCCTTAAATCTAACAAGGGGTGCTTTGAGTGCAGCCCCCTGCCCATTATGGCCTCACTCCCTGCTCTGGGGGCAGATGTGACACCAGCCTGTTCCTATGAGAACCAGGCAGGTGATGCTCTCCCAGGTCACAGGCTGCAGCGCATGGGGCTTGGGGTCTTGGGATGATGCAGTTTGCCTCTGCAGGCCCCAGCTGCCCGGCTCAGGTCGGCTCTGCAACTTCCTGTGCAGCCAGGGCCCAAGCAGAGCTGCAAAGAGCTCAGAGTCAGAGGGGTGGTTGGCTGTCTGTGGTGGGTTCCCACTTCCTGACGGGGCTGGGCTGTTAATTCTAGCTGACACCAAGCCAGAGGCTGTGGGTGTCTGTTACTGAGCCTGTAGCATGGCCTCCGCACTGCTGTTTACCCCTGCAGGAGAGAACTACACCAGGGTGTTAGACCAGCATCCTGCTGTGAGCTAGTTTCCAAAGCCAGACGTGAAGGGTGAGTGTTGGTACAACCTGTCCTCTCTGCAGGGCACTCAAAAGCAGTGATCAGACCCTTCCAGCACAAAGGAGCCCACTGAAATGCAGCCCTCTCCTTGGGGGGGAGGGGGGCAACAATTTTGAGGAAAGCCCAGGCTCAAGAAATGCTCTGGGGGCTTTATCATCCACACCGGGGCTGAATGACCCACACAAAGTAAACAGCACAAGGCTCAATGCAGTGGCGGCCTTAGGGAAGGGCAAACGGGGCAACTGCCCCCAAAATTTTGCAACAAATGTCCAACTCATTTACAGGTCATCAAAATAAAGCCTTTAAATGACTCTCCAACAACCCTAAGGCCACCACTGCTCAATGGCTGTATCCACCCCAGAGGGTGACACTCTGGGAGACAGGAACTTGGAATTAGCTTGCAGACGTACCCTCCCTGGCAGTGTACTCATTGTCCTCTATGAGCCGAGCTAACCCAAAGTCGGCGATCTTGCAGCAGAGGGTCTCTGACACCAGGATGTTGGCAGCTCGCAAGTCGCGGTGGATGTAATTCTTTGCCTCAATGAAAGCCATTCCCTCGGCAATCTGTGCATGGGGCAGCAGGAGGGGGAGTTACTCAGTCTCAATCCTACTAATCACGCTTTTTTCATTCCCCCCCACCCAACTTCCCCCTCTGCAGCTCTCAGGATTGGGAGCTGTAGTGGTGAGTGAGCGCCCAGGTGGGGACTGGAGAGGACAAGTCCAAGGCAGAGGAGAAACTCCCATGTCTTTAGTTGGCACTTGGATGCAGACCCCTAGCCAACACTCACTCCCCATGCCCAGTAGGATGGTCTCTGCCTATGTGCACCTGACTTACCCCCATCCCTGCCAGGGGCCATTCCAGCCCTTCCCCTCCTCACCTGTGCTGCCATATCCAGCAGCTTGTTGACTGTCAGTTTTATTCCTTCAGAGGTTTTGAGGAAATCCACCAGGCTTCCTGCAAAAGAACCCACCCTGGTCAGACCCAGCCCAGCTCCAAGTGCAATTGGCTTTGAACCCGGCTCCTTCCCCCTGGGGGAGTCAGCTCTGGACTGGCCCCAGCCTTGGCCTCTGCGTAGACAGTCTTAATCCATCAGGAGGAGGTGCCCTGGATTCTCAAAGTTTATACTGCATGCAAACCCACAGAGTCCATTTGGCCAGCTGGATGCAATAAGATGCAGGGGTGGGTTTTCCCAGGCCCTTCAGTGCCAGCAGGGCTGGTCCAGGTTGGGTTGTGTCCTGAGGACTGAGGTGGTGGTGGGGGGGCTCCTGTTTCCTTTGCTAGGTTAAGTCATATGATTTCACTTCTGAACCCAGGGCTTTTCTCCAAGTGTCCCTGTACAACCACTTCCCATACTCAACTCATGCCCATGAACTCCCTGCAATAAAAACACCTGCTATAAAGATGAACAAGGTGCCCCTAGGCAGCCTATCAGCATTTGCCAAGAAGGGCAAAGAGCCACATACCCCTCAAAACCCTATAGAATAACTGTCTACCCCCGGCCCCATGTACAGACCACCCTATCAGTCTCAAGGGCCATACTCTGGCTATACTCTGTGTCTACAAATGAGCCAGAAGAGTCCTATCACTGGCAGGCTGGCTGGCTTGGATCCAGTCAGCCTTTCTGCTCAGAGCTGTTAGCTGCAGCCATAACAGACACAGGCACATTTCCTCTGGCTAAGCTGCCAGCTTTCAGAGGAAGGGAGCAGGCCGCTGGCTTCACAGCTCCGTGACACAGGAGACAGGGGCAGGAGGGCTGTTCTCAACCCTTATGCTAGCTCTTTGTCCTTCCTGCTAAGCCAGCCCCAGAACCAGGCTCCCATCTGCCATGGCACTGCTGCCAAGAAGCTCACAGCTCCTTAGCAAGGAGGAGTGAGCCAGGCTGACCTGTGTGTAGACCTCACCACTGCCCAGGAAAAGAGATCCAGCCCACCTCCCTCCATCTCCACCGAGATTAGCCCAGGCAGCTCCACATCCTCTGGATAACAGGGGTTCACATCCTGAACCATGGTTTCTGGCACTTGGAGGAGCCAAAGGAAACCAAAGGTTGCATGAGAGACAATAGGCAGTGCTTGCCAGAAACTGGAAAAGCCCTGAGCCCCAGGCGGAGTTTCCTGTGCTGGGGGTAGTAATAGGGGAGGGGGAAGTTCCAACAACTTTCCAAGCCCAAATATATCTCTGAAACACCCTGGGGCTAAAGCTAGCCATAGCCTCCAGCCCTACTGCCCCCCAGCTGAAGCCTCCTCCACCCCAACCTGCTCTGCAAACCCCTAATCACTAAATCCAAGCCCTGCCTCATCCCCAACCAAATGAGGCCGGATACCACTGGGGAAACTAAGACGCTGGGCAGCAAAGGGGCTTATCCAAGGTGACCCAGTGAGTACACGGCAGGAGCAGAAGCCGAGGTGGGTGTCTGAGCCTAGTGCTCTGCTCCCAGACCACCTCTCCTCCCTGTTCAGGAGTCACTCAGTGAAGCCGCCTTTTTTGCAGGAATCACTGAGCTGCTGGGATGCCAGGGGAGTTGAGCAAGAGCTTTTAGACTGCCCCCCGTCTTCTCATGCATGCAAGCCCAGAGGGAGGGGCAGATGCCTCCGGATGTGCCCATGGCTCCTTTCCTGCCTCCTCTAGGTAATATGTGGTTTTTACCCTTGCACCAATGAAGGTCTCTGCACAAAGCAGAAGGGAAGCAGGGAGCCACCGGGGTTGGAGGGGTCCTTTCCCAGTGATATAACTGGTGATTGTCCCCCACCAATTGCAGCCCCTTGATGCACCAGGCTGGGCCTGGCTCCCTGCCCCCTCCGCCTACTCCTATGCCCTAAGCAAGGAGGACAGGGCAACTCCCAGCAGGCTCACCTTTCTCCATGTACTCTGTGATGATGTAAATGGGCTCTTGAGTCACCACCGCGTACAGCCGCACCAGCCGGGGGTGCTGCAGGTTCTTCATGAGGTTGGCTTCAGCCAGGAAAGCACTGGGAGACATGCTGCCTTGCTTCAAATTCTTAATGGCCACCTTGGTGTGACCATTATAGTAACCTGCAGAGAGACAGGGTGGGGGCAAGAAGGGGAGAGGAGACCCATGTTACACCAGTCAGGAGATGGCTGGATTCTGCCACTGTGATTCTGCATGGCACTGCTGGGCAGAAGAACCTCTCCTGGCCATGAAAGGGCACTGCTGGGAGGAAGCTCACAGCAGGAGAGAACTGAGCAGGCTATAAAGGAGTCCCCAGCAGCAGAAACCTGAGGCCTAGCCCATCACTGGTGTGGCTCTGCTGCCTTGTCCTACCTTGAGGGCATGAGATAGATGTTTGAAGCTGCAGCAACTAGTCTATGCCACCTGTCCTGTGTCCAAAGGAGGAGAGGGCAAGTCCAAAGCAGCTGGCAACAGTCGGGCACTGCATGCAAGACATCGGCCTCAGCTCCTATCTGGGGGGGTATTCCTAGTCCCATCTCAAACCAGGATGTGGGACTTGACTCGTGGTCCTCAGTCAACAAAAAAAAAGAACCTGCCAGCAATTGACCTCTAAGCCCTCCCTGTGCCAAGCCCCAGACTTTGGCCTGGAAGAGTAATGCCCAGCCCTAGTCCAAAAATTGACTCTGCCCATCACTGCCAAGGTGCCCCAGCCTCACCCCTTCCTGCTGCAGCATGAGCAGTGTTGTAGCCAGGCTGGGCAGCCCAGCAGAGCTCCCAGCTCCTCAGTGCCAGACCTGGAAAGCCTTGCTCCAGGCATCTGAAGAAGTCCCGCTCCCTTGCCAGGGGCAGGGTGCCAGGGCAAGACAGGATTTAGGCACCTTCCCCCCCACCCCTCCAGCTGCCGCAGTGCTGGGTGGTTTTGCAGCTCATTCTCTTTTTTTTCTCACAGTACAGGGCAAAGGCACAGCAGTCAGAGCTGTCTCTAGGCGCCCTCGCTGTTCCCAGCTGTCAGAGCAACAACCACAACAAGGTCCTTTCTGGGGCAGAGGGGAGTGTGTGATGCTTATCATCATGGCACAAAACTGCCAGCAGCTTGCACAGCACAAAGGGTGTGGGCAGCTGAGAACAGCAGGCCCCAGAGCTGTGAGCTCTCTGCACCTCCAAACACAAAGGGAGCATTGGGGCTCAGGGCTGGCTGTAGCTGGGTGCAAGCCGAAGGGCACTAGATTCCCAGGGCAACAGGCTGGGGCTGGAGTAGCGAGGGGAGAACACGGGGAAACACTGAGCCTGTTACTCAACTAGGCAGGAGCTGTGGGTGGGGAGGAAGTGGCATGAAGCCATTGCCATATCATGGGTAATGCTGGGTCTGCTCAGTCCTGGTGCAAGCGAGCAGCCCCTGGACTGCTCTACCCATTGCTGTGCTTCCATGTGGTCCCTAGGGAGCAAAAATGGATGCCAGCCATACCCCTCTTCCACCTCTTATGCATGGCTCTACATTAGGAGCCCGATTCAATTCTACATCAGCCGGGGACTATTTTCCCCTATCCCGTTTCATCCGGGAGTGGCACAAGGCAATCTTAGTGCAACCAAGTGTGGGCGAGTCCGTGACAATGAGGAAAAGTTCTGCAGGGGCATATTGACCCAGCACCCAGTCAGAGCACGCCAGCTCCAGCTCTATTTTGGGGCTGGGCAGCCACATGGTTTTCCTTCTGTGTTATTCCCTGAGCAATACTGGAAGACAGGATGGGCCAAAGGGAGAGGAGGCAGGTTTGCTTGTCTCGCTAAACTGGGGTTAAGGATGGAAAGAAAGGAACGTGGCAGAAGCAAGGGAGGTGGGGAAGCAGCTACCTGAAGTCACTGCCTCCCAGCACCACCCCAACATGGGCAGCTGTGGCTGAGTCACATCAGGCAGCGGGTGTCTGAGGCAGCTCCTTTTGTTGGTGAGAAGTCAAAGCAAATGAGACCAGACACCTGGGCTGGGGCTTGACAGCCAGTTCCTTTGGAAGCATCTCACCCCCTCCGAGATGCATACACACACACACACACACACACACACACACACACACACACACCTTTGCCCAGCTGGTCCCTGCCCTCAATTCTTGCAAAGAGCTGGAGCAGATGTAGCCAGAAAAGAGGGGAGAGGCTTGCAAGCTGGGCTGTGCAGGGAATTCAGAACCCAAGGCTTGTCCCAGGGAGAGGTTTTATCCCTGGTGCAGGCATAGCACAGGGGCTGGCGAGGCCAGCAACCTTCCTACCAGCCTTCTGCCCCAGACAGATGCTCCCTCGGGGCCCCTGCACCGATGCATTCAGTCCCAGCTGGTGTTGCCCCTGCAAGGGCTGCAATTCTCCCCCGTCACCGGTTGGGTCTCACCCTCTGCACCCGACTATAAACAACACTGTGAGTCACTGGGGAGCCGGATGGCGAAGGGTGGGGTGGGTAGCACCATTTGCACGGGGATTTTCACAGCGCAGACTTCTGCCCTGCCAGGAGCTGGACTGAGATGCTGCCATCCTCATGCCATGTGGGGCCTCAAAGAGCCCCCCCGAGGGGAATGAAGGCAGTTCCCACAGATCTAAGCTGACTTAGACTCAGCAACCCAGCCGTGAAAGGGCCAGATATGGAGCCTCTGAGCCCAGCCCACCCTACTTGGGTCCAGAAGGTTAGACTCATACATCAAACCCAATGTCTCCACAGCAGCAGGGCTGCTTTGAAGCATCTGGCTACCTCTCTACTGGTACTGTCCTGAACATGATGCCTGTCCTAACTCCTTTTGGCATCCCTGTCACTTCCTGCCTTATACCCCTGGGGAGAAGGGTTCCCTAAACGCAGCCCTGCCCCAAAGCCCAGCTCTCTCCCCTTCTCTGGCTGCATTATCCACAGCCCTGCAGGGAACTTCCTCTCAGGGACAGACATACCAGCAGAGAAGCAGAGTCAGCAATAGGGCTGCCCTAAGGAACCACAAGCACGGGGCTTGCTGGATGTGGGAGGAAGCCGTGGCAGAAGGCCAGAAAAGGCAGAGCTCGCTCCTTCAGGCCTTTCCTTGCCATTGCTGATATATTGTACTAACCCCACGGCCATGCCAGAGTGCCCTGTGCAACAGCAAGGAAGGAAGCCAGGTCTCATGGGGCCAAGAGCCCATTTGAGCTAGAGGAGAATCTCCATTTGCTGCTGGCTGTTGAGGGTCCAGGACTCACAGTCGATCCAGTCTGCTTCATTCTAGCCAAGGGCAGTGGGGCCCCTATGCACTCAGGTGTGGCACATTTTTTGACCTGGACAGCCACTGAAGGACTTTTGGTAAGCTGTTGTGGGCTGGAGGAGGCAGTGAAGAGCGCCGACCCAGTCCACCATAGTGAGGGGGAATGGGAAACGCAGTTGATCCTATCTGGCCCCTGGCCCATCCTCCCCACACCCACCACAGCGGTGCCGGACAGAACAGGTGAGCAGGGCCTCCATGGAGACTGGCCTAGGACCCCTGCAGGCAAGCCATGGTCCGCCAGGCAGGCAGGATGGGGCTGCAGGCAAGTAGGGAACAGCATCTGGGAGCAGGACAGGGAGGGGCAGTGATCGCATGGGCCCCAGGGCAGAGCCATGATCCACTCCCTGCATGTCCCTGCAATGGGCACCAGTTCTGCAGGCAGGGGCAGGTGGGGAACAGATCACAGCTCTGCCCCAGGCCCCAGCCCTGTGCTGTCACTACCTACAATTGTGATCCTGGCCCCTGCCCTGCAAATCCCACTCCCAAGCACTGCTCCCCACCCACCCATGGCCCTATCCCGTTTGCCTAGCCTCCCATGCCTGGGCTGAGCAGGGCCAAGGGACCCATCTCAGGGCAGATATAATCCTTTGGTGTGCTGGATCCAGCTCATGGGGCCATATTTTGCTCACCCCTGCACTAGGTGATTAGTCACTGTATTAAACAGATCTCTCCATGCAGCAAGGGTCCAGCAATCATCTCATGCTGGGGGAGGCAGGGTTCCATCCTCGCTGTTGTTCCTGCGACCCCTTCCCCACGCTCCAGCTGATGCATCCTATAGGTGCCTTCCTGGAGCCTGCCAGCACCAAGCCTAGGTGCAGGCTGCTCAAGGACCCTTGGGAGGTAAACCCAAAGCTGCCGTGGCACCCACAACCCAAACCCACAAGAACCCCTCTGCCTATTACTCACCCATCCAGACCTCTCCAAATTGCCCTGCTCCCAGCCTCTCCACTAGCTTGAGTGTCTCCCGGGGAACCTCCCATTCATCTTGCCACCAGGGCTTCTGCGGCTTCTGGGTCTGGCAGGGCTTGCCGAGGCGGGTGCACAGGCCATCGGTGTTACCTGTAGGACAGGGAAGGGCAAGGAGGAGCAGATCAAGGGATAAATATGAACTTTGATTGAATGGGAGGGAGCAGGGGGATGGACCAGGGTGGTCCCAAGCCTTACGTGTGTAATGCTCCACAAGCTCGTGCAGGCTGCCAAAGGTGATGCGGGGGGAGATGTAGTACCCCCCATTGTCCATGTTTCGGATCTTGTAGTGCTTCACCATCTCCCCCTGGTTTTGGTCAAAATCTCTCACTGACAGGGAATAGGAGCCTGGTGACAGAGCACAAGGAGTGAGTCCACTAGGAGACAGGGGGTGTCTCCTTTTCTCCCTTTGAAGACTGCTGACCCCACAGCCCCTGCAACCTCCTCCAGGGGTACTAGCCCTGATACCAACATGCCACCAGACGTGGCATCTCTTCAGGCCAGTGCTGAGTCCCAGGGACTGTGCAGGTAATCAAACTCCTTGGCAAGGCAAACCCAAGGCTGCCATGGTACCTACCACCAGGAGCACAAAGTCAGTCCCTGCCCATTGATGTAACCCACTGCTCACCCATGGAGATCAGCCTTTGTGATGCTCCTAACAAAGGTGGAATTCAGCAAAGTGTCACATTTAAGGACTGAGCTCTGGGTAAAGAAACTTGTTCACACCTCCAAATCCAAGCAGCCAGCCATAGGCCTAGGTAGCTTGCTGGATTACTCACAGCTTGGGCCAGGCCAATCTGACCTATACATGCTGGCTGCTAAGGCTCAAATCCTGCAAGGCTGGTAGCACACAGGTAGAGGGGAAGGTGCTGTACATTAGCAGTGCTCTGGGCACGGTTACCTTTGGTGGATTCACTCTCCCGGATCAGGAAGGAGCCGTGGGTGTTCCCAGAAGCAAGGAGCTGCCTCTCTGCATCCTTCCTGCTGAGGTTCTTGAAGAACCAGCTGCATGGAACAGCACAGTCAGTGCCAGCCAGACTCAAGCACTCTCTTTCTGCCTGCTTTATGCCAGCCAGGGCCCCCCAAACCTCTCCTGTCCCAGCCTGCTGGGCACCCCAGGGGTACAGGCTCTTCTAGGTCACCCCTCCCTGAGAGCCAGTGCAGGACTGTTTCCTAGTGCTGCAGCTAGGCTCACATCCCCTGCAAGGGGGTTTCATAATACAGAATGTTATGCCCCCAATAAGCATCTACTCACGGTTCTGGCTCCAGGCTATTCACCCTAGCGACAAAGTTATAGGGAATAACACCTTCCTGGCCAGTGGTGAGCGACTGGGCTTTCCACCACTCCCCACTCCTGAAATGAGACCAAAAGAAAAGCCAGCGTCAGCCCCTGGTCCAGAGCCCTCTGCAGATTAAAAGCTTGGGAGTGAACTCCTGCCCTCCAGCTGGCTTGGTGAAGATCTCCAGGCAGGAGACTGAGAAGGTAGCAGAGGCTGTCTACTGCTCCCCCATCTCCCTTGCCTCTAGGTCTGAGGGGAACTGCCTTCTCCCACATAGAAGCCCCATCACCTTCTCCCTTCCCCTGGCAGGAGGGCAGGGCATAGAGGACACTGCTTGGATCCAGTTCTGGAGTCCCACCAGCATTCAAACACTCAGCAACCTGCTGGCAAGGGAACCCTTCCCTGCTTGGGGCTATTCTGATACCACCGCCCACCCCAGAGCCTCCAGGGCTGGCTGCAGGAAGCATGGATCTGGCATGGATGGGAAAGGACAACAGACTTACTCTTCCAGTATTCGGAGCTTCTCCCCTTTCTGGAGCCCCAGGTCCCCATCATGAGTGGGTTCATAGTCATACAAAGCAATCACCAGTTTATCTGGGGAGACAAGCAAGATCTCCATTTAGTCTGGGTGGAACTGAAATGCCTCAATGGACTGTGCCGTCTTTGCAGCTCTAGGAATGCTGGTCAGATGTGGTCTCCAGCTGAAGGCCGTTTGGTGACCTACATGGAATGAGTTTAGTAGGCCTTGGCCCAGTTTCCAGCAAGCACTAACTAGAAAACTCGGCAGAAAGGCAGACTGGTGGTGAAGGCTGGATTCTGTGGTCGTGCAGCATCCCTCTCTGACGGATAGTCCATTGCTGCGCTACCTGGGATGGATGGTCTACAGGGTGACTTATCGCACGAGCACAACTCATGAATCAGACTTGGGACAGCTTTGTCAGCATGATTTCCCTCCTGTGCAGCCAACAGACCTTACCTTGGAAAGGGGAGCAGGGCGGTGTCCCCGTTTGATAGGACACCAGAGGATCGCGCATCTCGGAGCCGTTGCGTATCAGCCTCTGGGGTGGAAAGGAGAAGGATTGGGTCCAACAGCATTTCCCTGCTATTCTCCAGTAGGACGAACACCCTCTCCCTTGTCCATCTGAGGTCCCACCTCTCACTCCCACCATCCTATCCCATCACATCACGTTCCCCTCGTGGCCTGTAAGGTACCTGCCCACTCCCAGAGCTAGGAGCCTTTCTCTTGCTTTGAGTTCCCTCCTCACTTGCGAGAGCCTCGTATATCATATGGGAGAGTCTCTGCCAGGCATAGCCTGGAGGACAGGCATTTCCTCTGTCCACACAGGGCTGAGAGGGGACAACGCCTACAGAAGGCCCCAGCAGGGTCTGGGATGGAAGCAAGCCCTGCCTCCTCCTCACCTGGGATTTAGTAGCTGGGTCTATGGGGTAATTGCAGTGCTCACAGATGTCAATGTTCTCAATCCAGTCATCTTCATGGTCAGAACTACAGCAACAGCCCATGGTCCCTGCAGGACATGAAAGACAGAGAGAGAGAGAGAGACTGACTGTTAGGGAGGGCTGACACATTTCACACCCTACCTGGGTGAGAGTAACTATCTCAGGCCACACCAGAGACAAACAGTTGTGACCAAGTTGCTGGTGACTGTCTCACCATGACTCACAACTCCGGGCTGGACGCCCACCTCCTCTCGAGTGCTAGAGAAGGTCTCAGAAGCATCCAATACTGACAGCCGGAAAAAAAAATTACACATTGGCTCCTCCAGGAAACTCAAGTGCCCTTGAGGGATTTTTTTTGTTGTTTTTTTTTGTGGACGTGGGGCTTATCGGTGATTTGTCATGGGCCTAGCGCACCTGTCCGAGAGCTCAGACCAAAACTGTGCCTTTGGGGTCCCTGCATCACCCTCCTGAGAAGCACATGATCGCTGAGCTTCCCGGGCTGCAGTTGTGATGGGGCCATGCCCTGGATCAGAGAGTCATAGAAAATGGATGGGTATGCAAAGGGCTGAGAATATGTGTGGGTGTGCATCATAGGTGGCAGCTTTGTCAGCATGCCAGGAAACTCCAGCTTAAGTTTACAAGACTGAAAGGGGCTTCCTGGGTCATTGGGTCCAGGCCCTGCTACCAGAGGCAGCCATGTCACACAATCCCATCCACACGCTGCTCCAGCTCTATCCTAAACCAGGTGGTTTTCTTCCCATCCCCACTCCTCCTCCCGGGAGGCTGGTCCAGAACCCCCCTGCTCTGATGGTTAAAAACTGTCTCATTTCCCCCAGCTCCAGCGTAGTCATAGCCAGATTGGCACAAGAATAAGTGAGCACAATGTTGTTCTTTAGCTTAGAAGTTCTTTGCCCGCCCTGGTCTGCCCTCCCCTGATGTCTGCATAAACCACAATTTTTTTGTTTCTCAGCCTTCATTTTGCTTGGCCAAACAAACCAGGCTCATTAGTCTCCTGTCATTAGACAGAGTCTCCATCCTGAGCCTCTTCTGCACCTGCTCTGCTTTGACTTGGCCTTTCTTGAACGTGGGTGATGAGAATTGTGTGCAGTATCCCAGGAGAGGCCTCCGCTGAGCCGTGTAGCACAACACTAACACTGCCCTGTCCCCGGTGGAAATACCTCATCTAATACAGCCTAGGAAAGCATTTGCCTTTTCCACAGCTGCACCACCTTGGAGGCTCGTTCGGGTGCTGCAATGAACTAACACACATTTTTTTCTCCTCTGTCATTTTGGATGGATGAGGCCCCCAGTTTGTAGATGCAATTCTTGCCGTTCATTCCTAGAAGTGTGTTGTATGACTATATTTCGATGACTCAAGCCCTCAGAGCCATCCGGTCCCTCCTGTATAGTACTCCAGTTCTCCTTTGTACAGCTAATTGCTGCCTGTGTTATATCATCCACAAGTCTACTTGGCACAATTCTACTCTTTGTACCAAGACTGGTCCTTGAGGAAGTGCACTGGTGACCAGGCTGATACTTTCAGGACAGTCTGCTCCTTTAACCAGCTCCTTCCTAACCCCCTAGTACCCCTATGAAGCCCCAGGTACTCCATTTAATCAATGATTTCCCATGTGATGCTGCATCAAAACACTCTAATGAAACCCAGGTAGGTTAGACATTGCCCTCATCTAAAAGAATCAATGATCTTACTATAGACAATAGTGACGTTAATGTCTCTACCTCTGTTGCATTTTATCCCATTATTCTCTGTTTGCCCCCTTGTTTTAAATCATTCTTTCCTTCCAGTCTTTTTAAAAGCCTTGTAGACAACTGAAATTATGAGGTAGGCTTGGCAGCTGGGGCCTGCACAAGACTCGGACCATCTGTAGGCCGAGGGGGACAGGGAATGTACATTGACCAGTAGCTTAAATGTGCTCCCTGCATTCCCCACACACAGCACTTGGCTCCATCTGTCCGCAAAGAAGTAGAAGGAGGATTATTCAGAGGTAACAGCATAAGCTTTCATTTCTGTAGCTTTTCACTTCATTTTCCACTGCACACAATGCAAAGCGCGCTGTGGTCTTTGCAGCCTGACAAATCAACTCTGCATAGTCACCATGTCATTTGCTGCGGTAAAAAAAAATGCAGCCAGCTCTGAGATGGAACGTGGCCCTTGTGTCGGACCATAGCGGCACTGCACAGGAGCTTAGGACAGGGACTGACAGAACTGGAACGGTAAAGTCTTTGAAGGAACCCAAATGTTATTATCCAAGATAGAGTTTCACCAAGACACTGGGACAGATGTGCTAAGCTAGGCACTTCATAATGGCTACACGCAGTCAGGAGCACTGGGTTACCTGAGCCTGGAGATAAATAGCTACCACTTCACGAAGCACCAAGGTGATCTTAGGCCACCTCAAAGTGCTGACATAGCTTAGCTGCCAAGATCCAAAGTGATGCAGCTGCAGAGGAAGCCCTAGGCAGCAGCTTGCCATTCAAAGCACCGGCACCCATAAAGAGGGAGGTTTGAAATCCAGATGTCGGCCCCTGAAAGGCACAACCACGCTATCTCCCTGAAGCCAAGAACAAGACTCCAGGGAAGTAAGGACGCAAGCAAACAGCCAGCTAGAGGGCTCGGGAACCTGAGTGTTTGCCTCCTCTCTCACGGACACAACTTCTGCCAACGAGCCTGTCTACACTGCAGTTGACAGTGCGACTGCAACGGCGCTAGGCAGAGCCAAGCCAATTTTATTGCAGCCAGCACACAGGGCTCTAATGGCAAAGATGCCAAGGTGCAGGCCCTACAATCCCCCCAGGCCCCTCAGCACATACTCAGCTTCTTTGAAGCCTTGGCTGCCATCTCCCCACGGCTACCAGCGCTCAAGTTAGGCAGACTGTGCCTACCCGTACTAGAATCATACTGCAGACTGCTGTGTAGACATGCCCAAGGGGATCCACACAGAGCATGGGGAAGAGGTAGATTGTACAGCACCTTGCACAATCAGTCCCAGTCCGTGCCAGGAGCTCTTGGATGCTGTGCTAATATGCATAATCTCAATGTTGGCAGAGCAGAGCTCTCTAGATTGGGCAAGATCTGTGTTACACAGCTCGCCCACCCCTGTGACCCTTTACAGCTGCACCATCTGCTTAGAAATGACACAATTACCAATAGTAATTCTGACTCACCTATTGGATTCCCCTTGCCCTGGCTGAAAGCCACACTCTGGTTCTTTGGACCACGCTGACTATTCATATTAGAGATCACCCTTTTTTTTGGAAGCCCAAGCGGAGACCCCTCAGGCCCGATTTCCAGGACTGCAGAACGCCCGTGAAGCTGAACAATGTCAGCCAAAGCGAGAGGATCACAAAGAATCAGGGAAACGGCAGATTCACCCCAGCCAAAGAAGTAATCAGAGACCAAGCACTGGAGACACTGCACGCGAGGTCTTTGGCAACTGCGCTTATCGGAGCACATATCGCGCATGCACGCAAACAGGTGACGTGTGCAAAACCAGCAGGCGTGGGTGCCAGGGGCTGCCTGGCAGGGCTGGCACTTGTAGAGGGAAAGGCACATTTGCGTTAAGTCAACAACCCCTCTGGAAATGCTGCTTTCCCCCAAATGCTGAGCACAGCACAAACGTGGGGAAAAGCCACCTGGTGAGTCAGTCTGGAAAGGTCATCCCACAGCCGCAGAAGGAGAAATGTATTGCTTACGGCATCCTGCTCCCACCTGCTGCCGGGCGCCCTGGGTTCCCTCTGAAAGAGTGGAGGTTGAGCGAGTTCAGCCCATCATCCCTCAGAGGACTGGGGGTCCTTGTGTGCTGGTCTGCGATGCTGTGATGCGACAGGCACCAGAGAAACCCCCAAACAGATGAGAGGAGGCCCCTAGGACCGAGGGCAATTGGGTGCTGGGAGGGATGGGCAAGATCTCGGAGTTACACAGCTCTCCCATCCCTGTAGCAGCGGGGTCATCTCTGTCTCATACAAGTCAGAAATCCCCTGGCTCATTAGCATGATAAAGACAAAGCAAGTACAGCAACTTCCTGGTGCAAAACAACTCCCCAGGCTCCCCTCCAGCTTTGCATTTGTAGACCCAAGTGCATGTCCCCAAGGAGGGAAGCCTTGCTAGCCTCCGGCCCACCCCACGTCCCAGAACCAGCCATGGAAGAGATCTCAGGTGCCCGACTGCCAGGCCAGAGCTGCGTGTCCGGGTGCTCCCTCTCTTCCATATTCGCTGGGAGCAAACCTGTCCTTTTCCTAATCCCCCACACGCCAAACTTTAACCTATCCCAGGTTTTAGGGCTGGGTCTGCCCTGTCCTTCCTATCTCTATCTTCCCCTTTGTGTGCCACAGCCATTCGTGGATTTATCCTCTATCCTCCCCCGGAGCAGGGAAGCACTACTGGCCCCCATGGTGCAGGCAGGGACTGAAAGACCCTCACTGATTTCCATAGGGTTAAGTGCCTTACATAACTCTAGGCCAGGGGTCAGCAACGTTTTTGGGCAGAGTGGCAAAAACACCCACAACCTCGACTTTTAAGACTGTGGCACCCCTGGCATGCCAACAAGGGCCTGATGCTTATTGTGGCACTGCAGCCCTGGCCTCTTCCCTGCTGTCTGCCCCGAGGCGCATCTGCCAAGCAAAATGCTTTTGAGTGCCACACACTGCACCCGTGCTGGGGGCTGCCTACCCCTATGACTTGTCCAGGATCTCCAAGTCCCAAGCTAGCATCCCATCACTATGCCAGTCCTCCTGCCGTGAGTCCCTGCCTCCTGTGGTCGTTTATACCTACCTCGAGGGCACAAAACACCACCCTGTCACACTCCTCCAGCCACTACTGGTACTAGGTGCTGGGGAATTTTCAAGCCCTTTGCATCCCCCTGCTTCCCTCTCCATTTCCTCCCCTTGCCTAATCCTGCCCCATCCCCTATCCTCGCTTATCATCCTGCTGCTAGCCACACCAGAGCCGCCTCTGCTGCACACCTTGTCAGCTGGGCCCCCCTCTCCGTATCTCTCCACCTTATTGCCTCCCCCCTGTTCTCTACAAACTGCAAATGCATCTTTGATC